TGGCATGGGCCTCCCCACCCAATGTACGCCTTATTTCAATCCCCAAAGCCATATGCATTTCTTGAATATGAGTTACGCAAGTTGTAATAATAAAAAAAATGCAATAATTCTTGAACATTGCTATATGTACACTTTAGTTTACCATGTGACATTACCTAATTGGAGAATTTAAATTTAAATTTCCAATGTAGCACCTGTTTATGAAGCATTAATATATTGGATAGCGACGTAGTAGGTCTCATTGTTTGCCTAAATAACTATTTTGCACATTTAGCGAGTGTTGGATCCAATAATATCATCAAACCACTTAAAAAGCTATTTCATCGAGGAGTTGTTTAGCCCATGTTTGATAATCATATTTTTCAAACTCTTTTTTCTATATACTTATTTTCAATCATACATTCAGACAATAAAATATTCTGCATGTAAACCTAAAATTTTTTCTTATTTTTTAACCATATATCCTCCAAAAAAATCACTATTCAAAACTCATTTTTCTCAAAATAATGACCATCAAATATGAGTTTAATTAGAGTTGTGATGCATTTGAGCGTCTGCTTGATGGTCTTTATTTTAAAAAAAATTAAGTTTTGAATGGTATTTTTTGTTAGAATGTGTGGTTAAAATGTAAGTAAAAGTTTTGAGTTTATGTGTAGAATATTTTATTGTGTAAATGTGTGTTAGTAATATTGAGCCTAACTCCACCTAATAAAACCGACTTATTAGGGAATGATTGCTCTTACCTTATTTAGTGAATCATTTATATTTTTCCAAATAATGTGAGATTCTAATATGCCTCCTCACGCACAGCGTAGACCATACCAAACAACTGTGAACAAATCGATATTGAGTGGCACCCAACATTGCATAATTGGGCCTAACACTGATACCATGTTAGGAATATTGAGTCTAACTCCACCTAATAAAACCTGCTTATTAGGGGAGGATTAATTCTAATGCACCCCCTCACGCACAGCGTAGACTATTTTAAACAACTGTGAACAAATCGATATTGAGTGGCACCCAACATTGCATAATTGAGCCTAGCTCTGATACCATGTTAGTAATATTGAGTCCAACTCCACCTAATAAAACCGACTTATTAGAGAATGATTGCTCTCACCTTATTAAGTGGATCATTTATATTTTTCCAAATAATGTGGGATTCTAATAATGTGTGGTTGAAAATGAATATAAGAATTAAAAAGTTTTAAAATAATATTTGTCAAACAGAGAGACTTAAATCTTAATGTGTAATCAATGAAATCATGCCACTTAGACATGTGAAAATCATTACTAATATTATAATCGGGTTTAGTGACACATTGGATTCATTCTATTAATAGTAATGATATCTTAAATATACAAATTATTTTAACTATGACTTTCTCAAACTCGTAGAATTATGAACTTTTCTATTTGTACACTGAATTTTTACGCTTTGGTCGACACGTCATTGTTTTCAAGTGTCAACTACATGAAAACATTGTTTGAAATTTAAATCGTCCAATTAGATAATGTCACGTGACAAAGTATAAATCAAAATGTACACTAAAGTGTATATGTCGAAAGGTTCTTATCCGTAATTGGTTACATGTTCTTTTAACATGTGAATTAAAATTTAAATAGAAGAACGAAAAGGACATAAACTTTCCTCCACAGGAGGGTTTTTGCCTTGGATGCTGTCTGAATTTGATATATAATAATATTTAACTGTACGTGCTCCGACATTGATCAAATTTACTCTTGGTATGTTCCCTTAATCTATTTAACGGACTTGCACAAAAATAATATTATGCCTGCAAATTAAAGTCACTGGTTTATCTGAGTTTTAGGGGTGATTACAGTTTCAAACCGCCACAATTGACTATTTTCGGAAATTTCCTTCTGTTACCCTTTCTATTATTATACAGAAAGAATACGACATTTATATTGAAAATACTACCACTACTAGAACTGTTTAAATTGTTTAATTGAGATACTTGAACTGGGAAAGTGGGGTTTTAGAGATGTGGTCCCTACATCTGGCTTCGATGGGGGTGATCAAAGGGGGAATGGAGCACTGGAGCTGAACTTTATTCCATGGTGGATATGGGTTTTCAGTGGGCTCACTTGGGATTTCCAATTTTGAGCTTATGAAGTTCTTTCTGTTTCACTATTTCAAGATTTCATCTTGAAGCTCGTCCTCTGTTTCTGAGCCTCGAGCTAAAGAAAAGGTCAGTTATCTGTCTCTCTGTACTTGACTACAAGACTAGAAATAGGATCATATTTGTAGATTCATAATGCTAATTTTAATTGACTTTTCTTTGTTGTTCTGTGTTGGGTAAGTACTAGTCTAATTTTGCAAGTACAACAATCTGTATCGGCATCATTTTATTTGCAATCTATTTTAAATGCTAATGTTTAGCTGCTGAGTTTAATGAATTATGGATAAAAGGGATTGTTAATGTGAAAACTGTACATTGGATTTTTCAATTTGAACCATGATTTTGAACATGCACTGATTATTCATACTTGAGAAGAGAAGCCCTTTGCTTGGGAGTGATTTAGCTGTTGCTTTCATATGTTACAATAACATCATAATCATTTGTGGTCAGGCATCTTTCTTCCTCCATTTAAATGGACAGCTAGTTTTGTATTTAAGGGATCATTATGTTGACAGGTGCTGTCTTTTAGGAAGAACTGATGTAATTATAATCATAGATTGAACGTTCATTCATTAGTTCACAGCTCTATTGTGGACAGCATGATGATGTGCAACCACAACCACTATTCTATTCGACTATATCCTGTTGTTTCTTTATTTTGCATAAACTGAAATTGTTAGGCATGCTACAGATGTCTGTTACTTCGATTTTTTTTCTCATATTATATTTGCTTGCTTTTGCAGATTTGAGAAAAAATGTCGTCTTCACGGCCTAGCCAGTCAAGCAATTCAGCAAGATCAAAACATAGTGCTAGGATCATTGCCCAAACTTCCCTGGATGCAAAGCTTCATGCAGACTTTGAGGAATCGGGGAGCTCATTTGACTACTCAAGCTCGGTACGTGTAACAAATGTAGCTGATGGAGAGCAGAGACCGAAGTCCGACAAAGTAACTACAACTTACCTCCATCAAATACAAAAAGGAAAGTTCATCCAGCCATTTGGGTGTTTATTGGCCCTGGACGAGAAAACATTCAAAGTAATTGCCTACAGTGAGAACGCTCCCGAAATGCTGACAATGGTCAGTCATGCAGTTCCAAGTGTGGGAGATCATCCGGTTCTTGGAATTGGTACTGACGTCAGAACTATTTTCACTGCTCCAACTGCAGCAGCATTGCAGAAGGCCTTAGGATTTGGTGAGGTTTCTCTGTTGAATCCCATCTTGGTTCACTGCAAAACCTCTGGGAAACCATTTTATGCTATAATCCACAGGGTAACAGGTAGCTTAATAGTTGACTTTGAGCCTGTAAAGCCTTATGAGGTCCCCATGACTGCTGCTGGGGCATTACAGTCTTATAAGCTTGCTGCTAAGGCCATTACTCGCCTGCAGTCCTTGCCCAGTGGAAGCATGAAAAGGCTCTGGGACACAATGGTTCAAGAGGTGTTTGAACTCACTGGTTATGATAGGGTGATGATATATAAATTTCATGATGATGATCATGGAGAGGTGGTGTCTGAGATCACAAAGCCTGATCTTGAACCTTATCAAGGATTGCATTATCCAGCAACAGATATTCCACAGGCTTCTCGTTTTTTGTTCATGAAGAATAAAGTCCGAATGATTTGTGACTGCAGAGCAAGTAACGTGAAAGTCATTCAAGACGAGAAGCTTCAATTTGATCTGACATTGTGTGGCTCAACACTTAGAGCTCCACATAGTTGTCATTTACAATATATGGAAAACATGAATTCGATTGCATCTTTGGTCATGGCAGTTGTAGTCAATGATGGGGATGAAGAGGCTTCTGATTCTGCACAGATGCAAAAGAGAAAAAGGCTTTTCGGTTTAGTAGTATGCCATAACACAACTCCGAGGTTTGTTCCCTTCCCTCTCCGATATGCATGTGAATTTCTTGCACAAGTGTTTGCCATCCATGTCAACAAGGAGTTGGAATTGGAAAATCAGATTCTTGAGAAGAATATTCTGCGAACTCAGACACTCTTGTGTGACATGCTGATGCGGGATGCACCTTTAGGAATTGTGTCTCAGAGTCCCAACATAATGGATCTTGTGAAATGTGATGGGGCTGCTCTATTGTACAAAAACAAGATACACAGGTTGGGATTAGCTCCAACTGACTTCCAGCTTCGCGACATAGTATCATGGCTTATTGAATACCACATGGATTCGACAGGTCTGAGTACTGATAGCTTATATGATGCGGGCTTCCCTGGGGCTCTTGCTCTCGGTGATGCAATCTGTGGGATGGCAGCTGTTAGAATAACTGATAAGGACTGGCTTTTCTGGTTCAGGTCTCACACCGCTGGAGAAATCCGATGGGGTGGTGCTAAGCATGAACCAGGAGAGAAAGATGATGGTCGAAAGATGCACCCTAGGTCATCATTCAAAGCGTTCTTGGAAGTTGTGAAGACACGGAGTTTAACTTGGAAAGATTATGAGATGGACGCAATCCACTCTTTGCAGCTTATACTTAGAAATGCATTTAAGGACGTGGAGACTGGGGATTCGGATACAAAGGATATCCATACAAAACTGAATGACTTCAGAATTGAGGGGATGGAGGAACTAGAAGCAGTGACCACTGAGATGGTTCGCCTGATTGAAACTGCCACTGTACCAATCTTGGCTGTTGATGTAGATGGGAAGGTCAATGGGTGGAACACGAAGATTGCTGAGTTAACCGGTCTAGCTGTTGACGAAGCAATTGGTAGGCATTTACTATCACTGGTGGAAGATTCTTCGACTGATAAAGTGAATAAGATGTTGGGATTGGCTTTGCAG